CCAATATAATTATGAAATTACAAAAAGATGCTCTACTTAAGTGGGTTAAAAACAACTGCATTTAAAAATAAATGTAACTAAAATTCAAACAACATGCAAATAAGTTTCAAAAACTAGTTTCATAAAGCAATTGTTTTCATATTTCAATTATTAAGTACTATTTTTGAACTTCTACTTTTTCACAGGAGAGAAAAATAGGGATAATTAACTTGAACTATTCAACTTTTCCTTTAAACTGAATTTAGCCAGCTTTTCATATATATTCACTTTTCATATTTCATATTCACTCTTAGGAGAAAAGGTTCTATATAGAACCTTAAAAGGTTCTATCAGCGCTATACGTATTTGGAACCCCTAAAAGGTTCTATACACTCTTTAAAAAAGGGTTCCTCTGGGTTCTATATAGAACTCTGGGGTTCCATACTTGGCCAATAGAGCCTTTTACAAAAAAAAATGGTTCTATATAGAACCATTTTGGAGTTCCATATATGAAGCGGGGGATGGAAACATTTTTGGTTCTAAATAGAACCTTTTTTTTTTTTTTTTTTTGTAAAAGGCTCTATTGGCCAAGTATGGAATGTTCTATATAGAACCATTTCTTCTAAGAGTGTTCATATTTTCTGTGATCATCTGTGACTATCAATCTCAAAGCATTCAGACTTTCTCAATGCCACTATTCAATATGTGTATTCGTCTCTAAACACTTTTGTGTCCAAATGGGAGTGTTTTGTCTCCTAAGTGCTTTGCCAAAAAAAAAACGCTAAACACAGGCCTTTAAACTAACGTGATGCATGACTGACGCGGCCCACATCATGTTTTCCGTGCCAGCGCTGAGATTATGGCAAGGCATTACATTGCTATCACTAAGCTTTACACTAAAACACAGAGCACCTTTCAGAGCAGCACTCTCCACAACGCAAACAACAAAAGAGATTCTGAATTGTGAGAAAGCTTTCTGAAATCAGCTTGGACATCTTTCTAGGAGAAGCACTTCGACAGCAGGATTTTACATTGATCAAAAAGCATGTCAATGTTGGTTGTGTATATTTAAAAAAATGATCGGGGAAAAAAAAAAAAACAAGGCCAATGGTATTGAGAAGAAAAAAAATTCAAACATTAAAATAGTCACTTTTATTATCCGGCAAGAAAAAAGTTGTTTGATCGCTTTAAAAGATGTTTTAAAAAGATTTCATATAAATATGATATTCACATGATTACAAGCACACACTCCATATTGCAAATTTTAAAACCATGACTCCCCATGGAATCAAAATGGACTATTCTTATTTTTTTAATGCAAATTTTCAGTATTATTTATTATAAGCAATGTAAATGTGCACACATTTTTTTTAATTCATGTGCCTCGTAATCTTGAATTAAAATAACTTTGCCTCCTCTTTCACATGAGATCCACACATAGCAAACCATAACTATCAAATCTACAGTTTTCCCTAAATTTGTTCTTGTTCGAGAACTGTATAACCAAAATTATCCAACCCCCATTGCAAATCAACTTTCAGCAGTTTGCACTGAACAAATCAGACAAAAGCTCAAATGTTTAAAGTGATTTCTCCAAATTCAACTGAAAATGCAACTTTTAATGACTGTTTTCTTAAAATAATTCAACCCCTTAATGGCAAGCATCTTTAGTACATTTTATTTACAAAGCACATTTAAACATAGCAGAGCCATCCAAAGTGCTGATGAATAAAACATAATAAATAAATAACAACACCAATACATAAAATCAAATAAAAGAAGCAATAAAACAGGAAATTCATTATGAAAACGCCATGGAAAAGAGATGTTTTCAATTTTGATTTAAAAATGTAAATGGAAGGTGCAAGGAAAATGCAATAAGAAAAGAATATCACAACTGCTGATTTGATTAGTTTTAAAAAATAACTAAAATCTGACATTCTTTTAAATAAAATGTTTTTTATTATTATTTTTATTAAAGCATTTTTGTAATGTTTCTTAATTTGGCCTATAAATATTCTTTTATTATCTGCAGTTGTAGCTGAATTTAAACACAATAACATTTTCTGTAGTAAAATGGCTAGCGTGTCTTGTGTGTGTCTAGTGCTTTCGGGTTAGTTAAGGCTCTTCTCTATCCTCTTATGACTCTCATACATAATTCATACAAAACCTCCACACATAACCTGTGGTTTGTTTCCTTTTCTATAAAAAGAAATCAATAGATATAGTTGTGATTGCAGTGTATAGTACATAAATATCCCATTTGAAATGTAATATACTCTATTCATATAAATAGTGCATGAGATATACTTGTAGAAGCTATTCTATTCCCATTCCTAAGGGTCTCCTCAAAGGACTGTGTGAGAGAGATAGAGAGATAATAGAGCGGTCAAGTGAGGCACATATTTGCTGCCGGACTGAAAATAGCCAATAGGAACATAATTTGAGATTTTGGTGCGTCACAGATTTTTAGAACATGCATTGCATTAATTTACACTACCAGTCAAAATTTGGAATAATTGAGATTTTTAATGTTTTTGTCTCTTCTGCTCACCAAGACTGCATTTATATAATTGAAAATACAGTTAATTGGGAAATATTATTATATTAAAAAACTGTTTTCTATGTTAAAATGTAATTACTGTGATGCCAAGTTTTCTGATTTGGTGCTCTATTAGTAAGCATGAAAGTTACGCTCTTTGGTTCCCATCCTCCAAATTCCATCAAATTTATCTTGAAGACTCAAAGTAAAGTGAGGAACCTTTTGTGACTAGTTTTTTATATTTGATTGTTTTGTTCAAAGTACAGTTAAATCGTCCTTTTTTCACCTTTTTATCAAGATTTCGTCCAATGATACATTTCTAAATCCACACTAAACAAACTGCAATACGTGCAAAACTTGGGGGCCAGGATATTGACTGCATGGGTCCAGGATATACAATCATATCACTCCAGTTTTGGTCTTACACTGGCTCCCAGTCGAAATTGTTGAATTTTTATACCCCAAATCATAGACTGCGATCTTCACAATCCAACTTGTTGGTTGTTCCTCGTAAACTCTTAAGATCTATGGCTGACAGGACTTTCTCTTCATATGCTCCAGCCCTTTGGATTCTCTGCTTTTTGAACTTATGACATGTGAAATGTTTTAATGTTTTTTTTTTAGCATTTGTTTTGTTGATGTTACTTTTATTCCTTGAGCTATGTATTGCTTATTTTGTGTCCAGCGCTTTTTTTGTGTGAGAAGATTCTTTTAAAGGAACTTAAAATAAAGTATCGATGTTGAAAACAGTTTTTTGCTGAATATTTTGAAATTCTTTCAAAAGAACATAATGTATTTGAAATATAAATCTTTTTGTCGACTGACTGATATAATGCCCCTAAATACTTTTCAACAAAAATATTGAGCAGCACAATGTTTTCAACATGGATAATAATCAGAAATGTTTCTCGAGCAGCAAATCATCATATTAGATTGATTTCTGACGGATCATGTGACACTGAAGACTGGAGTAATGATGCTAAAAATTCAGCTTTGATCACAGGAATAAATTACATTTTAAAATATATTAAAACAGCTATTTTAAAAGGTACTGTATTCTCTCAAAACCATTTAAAAAATGTCATTATTTCAAACTTTAGACCAGAAGTGTACATGAATTAGATTGCCATGTTCCTGTAGCTCAATTTATCAAGCTTAACACTAGCAACACCAAGGTCATTTGTTCAGTTTTCAGTGAATGCATGTACTGACAAAATGGATAAAAGCATTTGCCAAATACATAAATGCATATAACGTTTTCTTTCTTTTATAGGTCCAAATGGGTTTTTCTTGCTTTTTTAAAAAGAGCCCATTCTAATTTAGCTGAAACGGCCGATAGCATCACAGTCCTGCTTTAAACGCTGTGAGGCTAAGCAGCATTTGCTTAATGTACAATTACTAAGAGCATTTGTATGATTGGACAGTAATCCCTGGCCGTCACAGCAAATGGCCTCTGGAGGTTTTATTTTTAGGCGTATTTGAGAATCATAACGGAGGTTTTAGTCAAAGCGGCCAGTCACTGTAGTTTTAATCTATGACTTTCCTTTGTATTTTATTTTCCATTACAAACATCTAAACATTCTTAAATCAAGATACATTTACTTGGGGAGCAAAATGACTTCAGATATGAAGTCTTACATTCTAGCAAGCAAAAATAATCCCTTCCTTTTGAAGTTTACTTTTCTGACGCCTGTCAGCGAATAGTTATTTAACTGATTATTTCAAGTAAATGTGTCTTGATTTAAGAATGTTTATATGATATATTTGTACTGTACAACAAGAAATACAGAGGACGAAAATATATATTTTTTGCCTTAATCCTAATATGACTTCAAACGATATATATATATGAAGAGTTCAGATGCAAAAGCCTCTAAATGCCATTTGAAATTTTCTTCTTTAATGAGGATTTTGATCAAACTTGTATATTTAAGTTCAGTAATTTCACTTAAATAACAATGATATTGTTATTTATTGTTATTTAATAAAAATCATCATTGATAAAAATGATGATTTTTATCAAACTTGTATATTTAAGTTCAGTAATTTCAGTAATTTCAGTAATTTCAATTTAAGTGAAATTACTGAACTTAAATATACAAGTTTGATAAAAATCATCATTAAAGAAGAAAATTTCAAATGGCATTTAGAGGCTTTTGCATCTGAACTCTTCATATATACATATACATATGTATGAATATTAGGGGGGGGGGAATATAACCATTATGAATATAACCAAATTATCCAAGACTGGGGTGGATCAAAAGCAATAGTTTAATAGTAAAACCCATACTGATCAAACAATAACCATTAAAAAAACCCTGATTTTAGCCTTCTACTAGAAAGTCATCTAAAAAAAGGAAACCCACAGGTCATTTGGACCAAATGAGACCAAGTTTGTGACCATACTGACACTATAGACGGGGTTGGAAAGGGTTTCGTGGGATAATTTTAGTGCTTTGTTGACAGAATGACTGACCTGCTCCGAGAGGTTCTTGGAGCGCAGGAAGAAGCCGAGAAGACATCCGATAACCACGGCCAAGACTGAGAGGATCAGCAGGCCGTTCTGCTTACAAACCCCTTTCACTCGCACCCACACTGCATCCAGTGCCACGGCCATCGTGTGTCCCTCGTCCACAAAACACCAGCCACACTAGCAGATCTCCATATATCCACCGCCCAGATCCAGACGGGAGAAGGACCCACGCAGATGCACCTTGGACAGAGCGTGAACGAAAAAAAGATAATTGCAGTTTTGCTCTATTGCACTATTGCACCAGCCCCTTCGGGACGGATCAGCTACGCCCACCTTCCAGCTCAGCCAATAGGAAGCGAGCATCAGTTGGTGTTGTGCACAGTGCGGGCAGCATCAATCCTATTAGCAAAAGCACGCTGTGTAAAGGGGTCTGTGGCCTGGATTATAAACACAGAGCATCAAATGAAGATGAAACTGGCTGGATCTATTTATAAATGCCACTGAATGAATGAGAAATGGCCGTGTGGATGTTTACAGATGCATATCTTTGTGGAACTGAATGCACTATCGAAAGCGTACATTTAAGAGAGTTCATTTTCGAAAAGCTCACACCATCAAAAGTGGCCGCAGTTGCAGAAACACCCAAATTTGGTGAATATAAAAACCATACAAGGCTGACATTTAAAACAGTACTTGTTTTTGGACTTGCTCAAGTTATAAAAAACAAACAAATCATATGGTCAGTAAGAAAGATACGGACGGATATGCACATGTAGATCATTTTAAGTGTAGCATACAGAGCAGTTTGTCTATAACTTAAATATTTGTAAATCACCGTTTTTTTGTGCATTCAGATACAGATGCATATCTTTGTGCATTCATTGTGGAATGGGAGTTTGAGGTTAAAGTGCAACCGTTTTTGAACTTTACTTTTATTAGTAGCGTAACAATGCTATTGAAATGTGGACAGCAGATTTAAGAAATCAAAGTATCATTAAATATTGAGTAAATAATCTTGGTAAGGGTCAGGGTACAAAAAAACATCTAGTTTAGGGTATTAACTAACTTATTAGCATGTATCTTAATACGTAATTGACAATTTATTCTAAGCATGCTTAGAATAAATTGTCAATTTATATTAATTGTCAACGATATTGACAATTTATTCTAAGCACTTATTAATGCTTTATTCTGCATGACCATATTCGACATCCTGTAATCCTACCCAACTAGCTTGCTAACTATTAATAGGCCGTAACTATGAGTTTGAGGCAAAAGTGGTAGTTCATAGTTAATAGGGAGAATTGGACCCCAATCTAAAGTGTGACCAAAGTTAGGATGCATTAAAGTAATCAAAAAGTAACAGTACAGCCATTATATAATGTTACAAGATTTCTATATCAATTAAATGCTTTTCGTTTTCTATTCAGCAAAGAATCCTGAAAAAAGTGCATCCTGGTTTCTTGAGCAGCAAATCATCATGTTAGAGTGATTTCTGAAGGATCATGTGACGCCGAAGACCGGAGTAATGATGTTAAAAGAATTGGTGAGTATAAAATCTTACCAACCCCAAGCTTTTTTAACAGTACGTGAATAAAAAAGGAATCAAACTGACAAAATGTATAGTATGAAAAGTGGTGTACGCAATCTGCACAGTCAGTGATTTTGTGCTCAGGAGATCAGAGAATCACAGGAGCGTTAGATGACATAATCCCGGCACACCACACACATCTCCGCTCCTCATTCACAATTAATCCACACCACCGAAGGCTAAGCGTTGCACTCCAGCTGTCTTATTCATCAATGATTCTCGAAAGAGGCACAAGCGCAGGGTCAGTCGCTACACAGAACGAACGAGGAAGAATGTGTTCGATAATGTGCCTTTCAGATCCTTCATTTAAACCCACTGAACCCCTGTGAGTGTCGACCCATATATAAACTAGCCCTCTCAATGCGCGTGATGATGGTACTACTGTGAAAGCTAAAGGTCCATTTGAGACCAAAATAAACTGCACTTACAGAAGTGGTAAACCTGCCAGAACATCTTCAAAAGTGGTAATGATTCATTGCTAGAAATACATTGTACATACTGTACATTCCGCTTCAAGTCGGACATAATTTGACTTACAAATTTTGTTTCCTTATTGACTTAAAAAAAGAACTGAATGCATTAAAGCTCCAGTCGGGATGGGCAACGATTAATCGCATCCAAAATAAAAGTGGTAATGATTCATTGCTAGAAATACATTGTACATACTGTACATTCCGCTTCAAGTCGGACATAATTTGACTTACAAATTTTGTTTCCTTATTGACTTAAAAAAAGAACTGAATGCATTAAAGCTCCAGTCGGGACGGGCAACGATTAATCGCGATTAATCGCATCCAAAATAAAAGTGGTAATGATTCATTGCTAGAAATACATTGTACATACTGTACATTCCGCTTCAAGTCAGACATAATTTGACTAACAAATTTTGTTTCTTTATTGACTTGAATGCAAAAAAAAGCTCTTATTATCCAAAATAAACTAACCAGCCGGTGTTGTTAACTCTCTGCTTGCCTTAGCTTGATTCAAAGCGGTAAGCTTGTAATGTTTTGAACTGATTGGTAGATTTCCACAGGGAATTCTTGCATGTTTTTGCATCATTACGTCACGCCTGTACACATAAAGAAGGAGCCCCGGCTAGTATAAGCTATATTGCGTATAGCACAGCACTTGTTATTATTAAACGTATTAATTTGATTCTGTGCTGTGCCGTACCGAGGTACAACTCACGTATAGTTGATAATTACGCAAATGACTGCAATTGCAGATTTCAAACAGAGATGGCGACAGAGGAAAAACTGCGGACTGTAACTATAGGGTTTAGTTCACAGAAAAGTTTTCAGTCTGTCATTAATTACTCACCCTCATGTTGTTCCAAACCCGTAAGACTTTCGTTCTTCTTCAAAACATAAATGAAGATCTTTTTACTAAAATCTGAGTGATTTCTGTCCCTTCATTGATAGCTACGCAACTACCACATTGACGTTTCAAAACTAATCCACATGAATCGATTAATGTTTAGTCCAAATTTTCTGAAGAGACACGATCGCTTTATATGATGAACAGATTGAGTTTTGGCATTTATTTACATATAAATATTCATCAACTCTTTAAATAGATCATTGCCTAAGTTAAATAAATTCAACAAGCACCGTCCTCCGGATGAGACATTAAACTGAGGTCATGACTCTCTGTGGTTATTAAAAATCAAAGGAAGACTCTCAATTAAAAAAAAAAAAAAGAGTAGGGTGTAACCCAGGCATCCTGGCCCAATTTGCCCATTGGCCTCCTAATCACTAATCATCCTGATGTACTCATTGGCTTCATCCGTTTGTCTCTAAGATCAGTGGTGGAGGAAGTACTGAATCTCAGTACTTAAGTAAAAGTACAAATACCCAGATAAATATTTACTTTAGTAAAAGTAGAAGTAACACAATGACAACCATACTTAAGTAAAAAGTACTTTATTTTAAATGTACTTTAAGTATTAAAAGTACTTGCATAACAATTTATTATTTTAATGTCTATTTTCTAATGATTAATAAAACATTTAATTCTAACTCATTCAACCTAATAGCCTACTCCTATAATGATGTTCAATAATGATGGAAAAAAATGTCACCATTTCTGAAACAAGCTTGCAATTAGGCAATATCATGCTTATCCTTACTATATGTTCTATGTTTGGCAGTAAACGCGATTCATTTATGGTGTAATTCTGAACCTCTTGGCTTGCCATAATCCTAACCAAACCAAACATATATTACACACGGTGTGTTTCCTATGCACCTAAAAACAATTTCGCGTATGAGTTGCATGATAAACACACTGCGTGTGAGACGCATTTAGTGTGACCGGGTTGATATACTGTATCTATGGCAACCAAACGTCACGGGTGAGACAAACGTGCAACGAACGGACGGTCAGATTACGTTTTGGCAGGGGAAAAACTGATCAGAAAATGTAACGAAAATGTAACAGAAGTTGTAGAAATGTAGTGGAGTAGAAAGTATAATAATTGCTGCAAAATGTAACGAAGTAAAAGTAAAAAGTATGCACTATTTATTCTACTTAAGTAAAGTAAAGATACATGAAAAATGTACTTAAGTAAAGTAACAAAGTATTTGTACTTCGTTACATTCCACCACTGTCTAAGATTTCGCCAAAAAGATCTTAATTTGTGTTCAGAACAAAATTAATGACCGAATTTAAATTTGTGGGTGAAATATCCCAAATGTTTATATATACAGTATATATATATATATATATATATATATATATATATATATATTGTATATTATATAGTTACTTTATATGGCTCCATGCCTAAAAAAAAATGCATGAATGAATTATGTGAATTCTTTTTATTTTCAGTTGTTTATTAACATGAACTTCAATTTAGTTCAAAATTCTGTCATTGTTTACTCATCCTCATTTCAAACCTGACTTTCTTTCATCGGTTGAAAACAACAGGGGGTGTTTGGCAGGATATTCACATTCCTCTTTCCATTCAATGAAAGCAGCCATGCTCCACAAAATGACATTCTGAAAATGCAAAAAGCTTTTTGGGTTTTTGTGTAATATACAAATGGTATGATATTATTAGCTCTATACAAAAGTCTAACGGTATGTCCTTGTTTTGACATGGACACCCTTGTGCTATTGCAAGTTCCTCCTTTGTTCTGATCCATAATTAGGTAATTAGGTAAATGCATTGACTGTGTTAACAAATAACAGTGCTACACACATATTTAATTAATTTCAGCTCCAAAGAAGTCTAAAACAAAAACACATTTTAACGTGACAAAATTGCTAAATATTGTGTTGATAAACCTATTCAGCACTATTCTGAACCGTCTGCATAAAAGTTTCCCAGCATTATGTATTCAGCACAAATAAACTGTTGTCTGAAATGTGCATAATGTGGAAGAGACTCTTGTTTGATGATGAAAGGCACAGAGGGAGAGATTTGTAGGACATGGTGACAACTCTGATATGAGACTTGTGCGTCATACATTTCAGTCAGGACAGCCGTCAGCGGATGTTTACCAGTAGAGTAATCCGACTCAGTCTGGCCGTCCCACATGCACACTCGGATAGATAGACCTCTCTTTACCTCTACGTGTTTCATCCCATGACACCATTCCTGACATGACCTCTTTAATGGCATCGAGTCTGGCTTTTAGGGCACTCATAGAAAGTGCTATTTTACTTTTAACAATAGCGGTGTAAATGTGCTTGTGCAAGGTTGCATGTTTGCACATTTGTACAATTGTCTGTTTGGTTTGTCTCGTCACCCCTCACGTCACATGTTTGCACAGACTCCATGCTCTGTAATCCCACTCTTTTGCCAATATTTCTGCTCAATCTGGTTTCATCAGGTCAGGATTATAGCAGAGATTAGTCAAATGCCCAGCCGCTGCCATGCACATTCACTCATTCATTAATAACATTAATGTCTCTGTCATCGGAAGGAAGCACATGCCATTTCTCTTGTTATATTTTTCAAAAACCCCCAACCCTATATTCAACTTTGGTGTTTTACTTGTTCAGCTGCCATGAATGACATGTCTGCTTGTTGAATGAAGGTGTTGTTTTGTAGACTTGCATTGAAAGATGGACTCATGCCATATCTAGAGGCCAGAATTTACTTGCAATTGGGCAGTTTCCAGCCTTTTTTCCGGAAAACAAATGCCTGGAACACTCTAGCAATTAACTTTTTTTTTTTTTTGGTCCATAATTTTAAAATTGTGCTGATGACTTGTGTCCAGCTTTTAGTAAATTATATCCATGACAGCAGAACTATTATCTGTCATTCAAGCAGAGAATTTTGAATGATGAACAATGACTCAGAACAAACTGAGTATGTGAGGAGGTTGTTGTTCGTCAAAGCTAAAACTCCAGCTAAGAGGCTTAGAGTGCGAGAAGGAAACCAATTTTCAAAATTACCTAATTTTTTCTCTGCTTCATTTTACCACTGTGATAACAACATGATTCAGGACAATAGAGAGTGAAAGGAAACTTGTGATATGTTACATTTCTTTCAATTGTAAAAATCTCCCTTCCCGTCGTTCCAATTCAATATCCTATGGGCGTGGCCAATTCAATTCATTTAGAAATTTGCCCAACCTTGTTGAGCACTACAGCTCAATATATCAGGAATATATGCATTAACCACTACGTTTTGAGGGAGACTCTTTTTAAAGGGGTTATATACACTCTCAGAAAAAAGGTACAAATGCTGTCACTGGGGCTGTACCTTTTCAAAAGGTACACTTTTGTACCTAAAGGGTGCCTATTGGTACCTTAATGGTACATATTAGCACCTAAAATGTACATATCAACACTTAAAATGTACATATTAGTGCCTAAAATGTACATATCAACACTTAAAATGTACAAAATAGCACCTAAAATGTACATATTAGTATCTGAAATGTACATATCAACACTTAAAATGTACATATTAGCACCTAAAATGTACATATCAACACTTAAAATGTACAAAATAGCACCTAAAATGTACATATTAGTATCTGAAATGTACATATCAACACTTAAAATGTACATATTAGCACCTAAAATGTACATATCAACACTTAAAATGTACAAAATAGTACCTAAAATGTACATATTAGTATCTGAAATGTACATATCAACACTTAAAATGTACAAAATAGCACAGAAAATGTACATATTAGTATCTGAAATGTACACATCAACACTTAAAATGTACATATTAGCACCTAAAATGTACATATCAACACTTAAAATGTACAAAATAGCACCTAAAATATACATATTAGCACCTAAAATGTACATATCAACACTTAAAATGTACATATTAGCACCTGAAATGTACATATTAGCACCTAAAATGTACAAAATAGCACCTAAAATGTACATATTAGCACCTGAAATGTACATATCACCACTTAAAATGTACATATCAACACTTAAAATGTACAAATTAGCACCTAAAATGTACATATCAACACTTAAAATGTACAAAATAGCACCTAAAATGTACATATTAGCACCTGAAATGTACATATCAACACTTAAAATGTACAAAATAGCACCTAAAATGTACATATTAGCACCTGAAATGTACATATCAATACTTAAAATGTACATATTAGCACCTAAAATGTACATATTAGCACCTAAAATGTACATATCAACACTTAAAATGTACATATTAGCACCTAAAATGTACATATCAACACTTAATGTACATATTAGCACCTAAAATGTACATATTAGTACCTAAAATGGACAAAAGTGTACCTTTTGAAAAGGTACAGCCCCAGTGACAGCTTTCGTACCTTTTTTCTGAGAGTGTAGGGTCTAAATTAAATGTTTGTAATAAACTTTAATTAAAAATTCTCATTGGTAAGAACACACTAATTTTACCTGGTCAAAACCAGCTTTATACTGACCCTCGTTTATAAAGCAAGCAGTCTGGTGAGAAAAGATCTGCGAATCGCGCAAACATGAAAGCATTGACGTTGCTCGTGGGGAATATTCCCTTCGAAAACAAAACTCAGCCGCTGTGTCTTCAGCGGTTGGGATTTAGAAACATCAAAATGACTGAGGCAGGGAAAAACATATAAATAGATTAAAACAAAAACACTGGATAGATTTTTTTTTTATAATATGCTGGTTGTGTACAGGTACTGCCAACACACATTTCAGTACAATCAACTTGAAAAAGTGCATGTACCATTATATGACCCCTTTAAGTCATCTGAAACCATCTTCACAATCGACAATCCTACCACTTCACTACTGCACATTCTCATACTATACGCATAGAAAAGTTTGAGACTGCGTTTAGTCCAGAAAATATGTGAAAATGATGTTCACTTTTTTATAAAAGCATGAAACTTGGTACTCTTCTAGCCAATCACAGGAGCCATCTCAGAAATGTTGCTTTTCGCCATGTATTTTGTATTATATCTCCTGAACCACACATGATATGAAAATGTGATGTATACGCCTATGTTTTGATCAAATTTGCTTGTCAAATCTCAGGGATTTGCAAAACGCTTGCTCTTGACAGATGAGTTAGTTTGAATCATGTTTGGTTCAGGAGATTGTATTTTTTTATGATACAAACTCATACTTTTTGGACAGTTTAATAGACAGAGTGTACCTTGAATTTTCCAAATGGGATGTGTGGTTTAACCTTCCAAGCCACTAATAGGCTATATATTAGGATTAGGTTTAGGAAACATCACACAAATAAAAAAAACTTGACTATCATTGCATTAACAGTTTTTAAAGGTCATTTAAAGGTCCTACAGTGAGATCTTTGGAGGGTTGGAGAGCACAGGGCTAAAAAATAAAGGTAATTTGGATGTTCAGCATGGCTACCAAGATTGTGCCTTCAAAATGTCCTTACAAACACAATGAATGAGGCAGAAAGCTGAAATGTTTTTTCCCTTTCTCCAGTGGAGTCTATTCAACACAGTTCTTCAGATGAGATAGAAATGCACTTGTATTTTTGAGGCAAGGCTAGAGCTTGTACAGGCATGAATCGATACAAACAGAGGTTGACCACCAGGTGAAATCATCAACTTCAATCACTCCACTTATTGGCTCTTCCCTGTTGTTTTATCTTCCCCTCTTTCTCTACCAGATGTTCAATTCCTTTCTCTTGCTTTTTGCGTAGGGTAACTCTCCTAGACTTTTTGTGCCCTCGCTGACCCGCTGATGTGCCTTTTCTTACTCCACGTTCTTCAGATCAGATGCAACCAACAGCGCAGCTGAATCATTAGATGGAGTACAGCCAAGAACTCAGGCAAGATATGAATTTTTCCTGCTTGAAATTTTGTTTTTCTTTATATATCGTGTGATATAGTCCCACAAGCAAAAGTGCCGTTTTCCCGAATATCAGCACTATTGCAAATGTAATTGTAATATTTTCATTTTAATACAGCAGTTCAGTAAACAATAAATAAGTTACCAATTTAACATTTTAAACACAATAATGTCAATTTGCTGTATTTCACAAACGAAAATAGTTCTAACAAAGCAAACCTCTCTGCATCTCAGAGCGGTGTTTCGTTCATAAATGAACAAATCAGTGAATGAACAAGAATATTTGACTCACCAATTAAGACTTGCCGCCACCTACTGGCGGGCTTCATATAAAAGTATCTTCTTCTTTTTTTTTTTTACATTATTCCTGCAACTGTAATTGCAGTGTAATAGATCTAAAGAATAATAGTATAATAATAGCACTAATAAATATTAATTTTTGTCAGTAATGCACATTACTTTTGCTCATTTACCAATTCCAGGTTAATACCAAGTTACAACAGACATAATATGTAAATAAATAACATGAAAGTCATTTAAAGGTGTTTCATAGTGTATGAGTAACTAACTTTATGTGTTTTCTATAGTAATTATGAGAGGGTTGCGCTTTTTTAATCCTCACCTGAGCATCTGCTATGTTCGCTTGCATAGCTGGTAATGGGTATTGCTGACTTGAACCTGGGCTCATTTTCCTCTGGGCCAAGCTGAACTCTAAGGCATGTTGTGTTACTGTGGCAACTGGCAACGCAGCATCCGCTTCAGCAATCTGGGTGCTTTAAAGCTGGTCTTAATCATAGGCAGAGCACACAAATTTATGTTGTGGAAACAATGCAGCCAGCATTAATATTCTTTGATATACAATCACAAGAATATATACTGTATATATATATATATATATATATATATATATACTGTATATATACTGTATATATATATATATATATATAATATATCATGGATGCATGATATATCGGCCAGCATATCGGTATCGGCCGATATATGTTCATTTTTAATGTTATTGTTATCGGCCTGGTAAGAAAATGTGGCTGATATATTAAAGCCGATAAATAATGTATTATTCCCTTCAGCTGAGACACTTGTTGAGCACTGTTTATGTTTTTGAATTTCTTGAAATATGATTGAAATCTCTTCAAAAAATAAAAATACGGTTCGGTACAACATGCGCACCGCAAATCTGTCATATCGGCTATACAACACTATAATGAGAACATCATTATAATCGTGCGCTTGGGACATGGATTTAATTGTGAGACTTTTGTTTTTGTAATTAGGCTCTCAAAATTAGATAAATTTGGATTTAAGTTTATCGGCCGATATATCGGTTATTGGCTTTCAAATATAAAGAATTATCGGTTATCAGTATCGGTTATCGGTGCATCCCTAATATATATATATATATAAACAAGAAAAGAAAAAACAAACATACTCCACCATTTTAGCACAAAATCCTTTGTCTTCATTCACAAACCACCCAAAATCCAACTAGGTGGTACTTGCGCTGGTATAAAGTGAGGCTGTGAGTATTTAAAGGTGCACTGTTAAGATAACAAAATAACAAGATTAATTACTGAGCAAATAAATAAAAATCATTGTAAAAATTGAATTGTTAAAAAATGCACTAAAACTACTGACAACTCACATGCGTTTCTTCTATGAAAACTTCTCAACGCATCAACGACGGTAGAGCGCCTCCAAACAATTTAAAAATGTTCTTCTCTTTATCAAGATATAATTAAATGTGGTTCTGCGAACATGCAGCATCTCATATGAGGAAATTAATTTGTGTAATATTATGAGAGAAAAGTGTGGTGGAAACTTCAAGGACATCCATTCTTGTGTTTCTCTAGAGCAGCTCAAACTGAGTCTCTGTAGGAAAATATACTATAAAATATGTTCATACGTAAATATTTCATAATACAGTTTTTCTGAATTGCTAAAACACTAAACCCCATTCTCTGAACCAAATTCTCATCAGCCTAAACCAATTTGTTGAATACATCACACTTTCTGTAAAACATTCAACATTAAAGTTCAGGCAGTTAAAACACTGTTCACTCACTGTGATGCACTTGTGTTTCACAACACTATACACAGATAGGCAAAAGTTAAACACAACTGCCACACTCACACACAACGACTCAAAATTGTTCACACTTGTCTCTAGGGTTGGGTATCATTTGAATTTGAACGATTCTGATTCCGATTCCTTGTTTCGATTCCGGTTCCTAACGATTCTCGATTCCGATTCTTTTAAGAGGCAGGGTCAAAAAAGTTTAGCTAACCTTGCTAACCAACGGTCTTTCTGAAGGAAATAATCCTTTCTGAAGGAAATACTCCCTCTGTAATAATACTCCTTTTGTCACAAATTTTTTATTTTGCCGAGATTTCGTTATTTTTAGAAAAGTGAAGCCACACTTTGGATCGCCGACGTAAGCTACTCATGTTCGACTCGCGTGGTTATGCCAACACTTCCGGTAGATGCTTCTTCGTTAGTGTTGTTCAGCGGTTTCTTCTTCCGCTCGGCGGACTGTGAATATCGAAACTTTTTTTTTTTGTTGTTGTTGTTTTTTTGTGAATATTGAAACTAGGAATCGAAATTTTAACTTTTGAACGATTCCGGGAAAAACGAAAAGTTAGTCCCGGTTCCAATCGATACTCGATTCTCGATACCCAACCCTACTTATCTCTAATGATGTGATCAAACCAACTGTACAAGTCAGTTCAGGGCCAAAACTGACTCAAAATGTTGCACTGAATGTTCATACCAACAATGGATGGAATCAATATAGGAGAGAGGAGGAAGAGTGCATGAGGAAGAGAGCAGGTGTGGAGAGTGTTGTCAAGGCTTGATCTACTCTAGGGTTTTTCCTGCAGAGACGACATTGTCTGAGATGTGGACAAAGTGTACAATATCTCCCACTCACCGTGATTCTGCAGTGCACAACTCTTCTTTGAGTGTTTGTTGCATGCTTTTTTTTACTGTAACCTTTTTGGCTTTAGCAGTTGGTCACTGTATTTTCACAATGTGCAAGAGCTGAATATACACACACATTATATACTATACAATATTCAGAACAATACTGTACTTGCAGACAGTGCATACAGTATACTAATTATTCACCTTAACAAGTTGTAATTACTATATTTTTTTTACTAATTGCAAAATTTGTTTAACTTTGTTACAAAACTTTTTTCCTGTAACTGCATCCCGTGTTCTCCATTTTTCTCTGTACTCTCAGAAAAAAAGGTACAAAAGCTGTCACTGGGGCTGTACCTTTTCAAAAGGTAAACTTTTGTCCATTTTAGGTGCTAATAGGTACATTTTATGTAATATTTAGATGCTAATATGTACATTTTAAGTGTTAATATGTACATTTTAGGTGCTAATATGTACATTTTAAGTGTTAATATGTACATTTTAGGTGCTAATATGTCAATTTCATGAGCTAATATGTAGATTTTAGCTGTTAATTTAGGTGCTAATATGTCAATTTCAGGAGCTAATATGTCCATTTTAGGTGTTAATATGTACATTTTAGGTACTAATATGTACATTTTAGGTGTCAATATGTACATTTTAGGTACCAATATGCAGCCTTTGGGTACAAAAATGTACCTTTTGAAAAGGTACAGTCCCAGTGACAGCTTTTGTACCTTTTTTTCTGAGAGTGTCTAATGAATGATCTGTAGTGTTTAAATAATGTTGACTCGCATGTGTATGATCTGAGAACCAATATGGCGAAACTCAAAAAATTTGAATATTGTGCAAAGGTTCATTTATTTCAGTAATTAAACTAAAAGCTGATAGAGCATTGCTTAATTTTAGCAGATAAAATGGTTTTGAGGCATTTTGTTTGATTTTGCCAGGAAAGTCAGAGGTTCCCTGAATGTGGTTTGAAAATTTGGTTTTGTGTTTAAAGTCCCCGTGAACCGGAATTTGCAAACAATTTTTCTCCAGTGCTGTGACGTATTTCCAAGTGAAACGGAATATTGAACAGAGGGCAGGGTTTTACTCTAGCGCTCCTCCTCTCCATCTCTCGCTCATAGTAAACTAACGGTTTGAGGGGAGTGGTTAAGCGTTTCCCCACCCAAACTGTGAAACCTACGTCATCAGAAAACGAAACCGTTCCAGACCGGAAGTAACTTTTCAGATTTTGATTAAAGATTACTAAGGTAAAACATTTTTTAAATATATATTCACTTGCACGGATTAATTGTTCACCACAAGACTTGTAATATGCGCTAACAAAGTAAATAGGTTCAATTTTGATTTCACGGGGACTTTAAGGTTTCGAGAAAGTGAATGATAGTTTCAAGAAATGTCTTTATAGCAATTCAGAAAAACTGTAATAACATAAACATGTTAGATTTCTTAATTTACGCTAGCCTACATATTTTTCTATCTATCTATCTATCTATCTATCTATCTATCTATCTATCTATCTATCTATCTATCTATCTATCTATCTATCTATCTGAGCCATTACAACAAAACGTAAAGAGAGAGAGAGAGAGAGAGAGAGAGAGAGAGAGAGAGAGAGATCATAAAGAGAGAGAGAGAGATCATAAAGAGAGAGAGAGAGAGATCATAAAGAGAGAGAGAAGGTTTTGAGAAAGTGAGAAAGAGAGAGAGAGAGAGAGAGAGATCATAAAGAGAGAGAGAAGGTTTTGAGAAAGTGAGAAAGAGAGAGAGAGAGGGAGAGATCATAAAGAAAGCTCGCAGCATCTCACGTTCAGTTGTCCGCGCGTCTTTTACAGTCGTCACATCGCTGTTTATAATCTGACTGGAGTAACTCTCAGACTACAAATGACAATCCAGAGGATGTGATAAGAGTCTTCATGCTCTAACAAGTGGTCGGTTGAGGGTTCGAGTCGCAGGCAGCATGAACGCGGATTGCGCGGGATATTACAACGCGGAGAACGTGTATGTCAGCGGCTTCACGTGCCCCAAACCCGACAGCGACGCGCGCGCGACATTCTGCTGCGGGTTCAATGACGTCAAATACTGCTGCGACGATCCCAACAGCTTTTTCCCATATGAATATGGATATATGTGGTGGCTTAGGTAAGACGGTGTTCTGTGAAACAACTATTTGTCATGGATGCTTAATTTTAAATTATGTAGACATATGGTCGGCGAACTTGACAAATTACAACTTTGTACGTTAGTCACCACTTTCAACGTAAACATGAGAGTAATGACCAAGTTTGATAGTGATACTGTGTGAAATTATGGTTGTTTCTCGTATATTATTTGTCTAAAACAACATTCTCTGATTCTGTCTTTACCTAAACAACAAGAATCAGAACCTTTCATTATTTTGTTGAACACATGCTTTTCCATTCTACACACATGGTTATACTGTTAAGCTAAAAACAACAACAACAACAAAACTTTTAGAAGCCAAATGGCTATTTCAAACAAGATTTTCCAAGAAAAACGACTTAATAATGGGTGTTTTTGTTCTGTTCCTTGTAAATGGCTATCATGGCTTCAGAAGCCTAATGTAATTAAGCCTAATGTAATCTAATTAAGCCGAATGTAACTAATATAGTACATGATTCATCTTGTATTTTTGTTTAGATATTGATATTCTGCTAAACATTTTTTGTGTTACACAAAAGGAGGATTATCATACATGTTGAAAGGCAGTGTTCTTTATTTTTTTCTGGCTTTAAATCAAATGGTAGACTATCAATGACAAACTAGTTTATTTTTACCGGTATATCTCTCCAATATTGTTGAAGAAATAAAAAGCGTTGTTTTTAGCAGCCATTATGCAGAAAAAAACATATTTTCAAAAGACAAACATTGTTTTAAATGTGAAATTTTCTAAATGAACACTAAGCAGCTAAACGGATGAAAGTTTAACTGAGAAACTTTCATACTGAGGCTTGTTTTCAATGAATGTATCTTGAATATAAGAGTGCTTGTCATTGTTCCATTTGTATTGTTCTCAGGAAAATGGATTTTGTTTTTAAGGATGTTTACATAATTTTTCAACTGAAAAACAAGACAAAGATACTCATTAAGAACAAGATTTTCAGGCATTATGTTAACATAATTGGACATTGACATTTTTGTTGATTAGCGAACATGTTTAATGGGTCCATTGATTCATCATAATGCAGAATGCAAATAAAAATCAAAGACAAACTCTTTAATATATATATATATATATATGTTTACAAAAGAAAAAATGGCAAAATAGAATAAAATAACCCGAGAAGCTGAGAATATGGTTTATACAAAGGCTGTTTTTGCTTCTCATAATAATCTTTATTAAGCATGTTTAGATGTTAACAACCTTGAGATAGGACATTGAAATCCTATGAGCCAGGGAACAGGTTTAATTTGATCAGATGAATCAAGATTCATAATTGAAATAATTGCATGTGTCATTAACCTCAGTAAATAGCTTCAAGTCAAGTGGTCTAATCACACTCTCTAGCCTTAAGTCTTGATTTGAAGAACGATTTCTGCACAGTCACTTAATAATGACCTTACAAGAAGTGAGAACAGACACTGTCATGGAAAATGTTATTTTTTTTATAGTATTAATACCTGAGATTTGATTGACCAATTAAGCTGAAATTTAATGACTAATTAATTAATGCATTTCAGTGCCATCATATGTAATTATAATAAAACACCACCAATTCAAGGTGCAAGAACTGCATCACATGTGTACATTGTTCATAGATCCATTATTATGTAAATTGTTGCAACAACTTAAAAGCTGCAATTTACATCAAGAATGGTGAAAATGTATGCATGTTTCTTGAATCGTATCATTGCATTAATCATCAATATTCATGACTTAAGTTTAGTTAAATGCTTACTTGGGAATTCATGCAAATCACAACACCTGGTTTTATAAACACTGGCAGATTAGATTTGATTAGAACTATTGTATTTACTGGATGCTCACGGAGGAAAGTATATTTTTGCTCAAAGGTTGCTTTTTCATAGCTCTCGAGGGGTAATGGAGGAATCATTTATGTTGCAAGTATAATCTCTGGGGTTTCTCTCAAAGTTCCTTGATAGAAATAAAAGTAGAGAAAAATTGGGCAATTATTGACATACAGTAAGAGTATCTAGAACTATAAATTAAGTTGAATAGCAGATCATTTGGTCTTGGTGCAATTCGATGAGAAATTTTGAAGTTCATGCTGAGATATCTGATTGCAAATCTGAGAATGGTTCTGACATTATTGAGATCTATTCTGAAACTCAAGAGGAGATTTGCCAGATAAGTGTTTTTGCAGGAAAATGTATCCGTTTGCTCTCCATTTAACTTCATTGGTGTCTAGAAGAAATATCAGCGATTGTATAAAGAATGTCTTGGTTACTGATGTAACCCACGTTCCCTGAAGGAAGGAGCGAATACGTTACGTTCCCTCTGCCACAACTCTGAACCACCTCTGAACGGTTGTCTCGGCTCGCGTTAAAACCTGAGAGTTGCTAGCTGGCTTATACCCATTTGTCGGGTAGGAGTGGCTCGGCATGCAAATCTCACTGGGCAATATCCATTGGCTCATTTTGTTACCCCTTGAAGGTGACTGGGCTCCCAAGTGAGACCCCAATACATCAGTATTGATGTAACATTGACCGTGACTGACTGAATTGAAACTAGAGTCTGATACCGATACAAATATTTATTGGTTTTAAAATCCGATATATCGGCCGATATTTTTTCTTGATTATTATTTCAGAAACGCGCAACAAATTATAAAACATACATTTTCAATATAACAGGCCAAGGAGAGATGATACGTCTCATTGCTATAACTGTCACGCGCTATTAAAGAAATATTTCAGTCACATTGTCAAAAGTTAAAAGGACTACACTGTAACAACATAACGTAACTATTCCTAGCTAATTCCGCTTCATTCTCGGCTTATTTAACAGCAGCAAAACTGGACATGATAGTCACAAATTTTGTTAAAATATTCATAATCAAAATATGACACAAAATATTCATTTATCGGCCATTATAACTGCCGATACCGATAATTTGGAAAATGCCTAATATCGGCCGATAATATTGGCCTGCCGATATATCGGTCTGGCTCTAATAGAAACTCTCATTAGTGATCATTGTTTCCCACTGGATCCCATAGCTTAACAATTAGAAATGCCCATATCATCCTGGGCTTTTCCAAAAGCATCAAACCTATGTACAGGGTTCACATGGGTCCTTGAAATCCTTGAAAGTTTTTTAATCTGAAAAAATATATATATATATTCAAGGCCCTGGAAAGTTTTTGAAAATAAACATACATAGATATAGGTCCTTAAAAGAGCTTGAATTTGTTCTCTGCAAGAAATTTTCTGGAATAAAATCCATATTATTTGTATTTTATATAATATGAATATTTTGCCAACACTTCATGCCCTTTACATACTAGCTTGTATGATTTACATTAGTTATGTGCTTTTACGCTTTTCTGCGTGAGGTACTTTGTGTTGTACGTTGCCATGGCGTTCATGTGCGCACAAAACCACTACGATGGAACCTCAATGTTATTTGTTGGACAACAGATGTGTCCTAGATTAAGTCTTTGAATTTGTGGGTATTGAACCTGGAAAGTCCTTGAAAGGTCCTTGAATTTAAAGTTAACCAAGGTGTGGGAAATGGAGAGAGAGGCCATTGTTACCAATGGTTTCTACAATTCATGTATGCATTTGGAAACATATTCCTGGTCAATACATCTAAACAAACACCTTGTTTTCAAACCAGATTGTATATGTTTAATATGTTTTGTGTGATTATCACAAAACCTGTCAAGAACATGTTTATTTCAACCCAAAATTACTAACCCCCCTCTTTTTGCAAAACATTAGCCTAACATAATTTTTTTATTTTGATTGTGTGGCCTGGACATGTTCTTGAAGGATATAGGAGATACAAATCTAAATGTTCCGCTTTCTTGTACTCAGGGTCAGGTAAAAGCTTCCCCAGTGCCTCGTGTCCTCTACTTTGGCTGCTAGCTGATTTGGTCAAGCATTCTTACATCACTCTCACAAGGAACTCAGTTATGACTATTTTCATCACATGCCACCATGACATGACATTTTACGGCATGACATTTCAAGGAATTTTGTGGCTGATGATTCACACACCGGGGTTGTTCATGCTGTCCCTTTGGAGCTTAATCGAGTTTTAAAAGAGTGTGATAAGATCTTGAGATCTGGGGCCATATGCACAAAGAATTTTAAGGCTACTCCTAAAAATGATGGGTGTGTCAACTTTAGGATTCCAAATTATTTTCACTTAGAGTAATTCACGAAGCATTTTAGCCCTAAAAGCATGCAGCACCTAAGTCTGGGACAGCTTAAAAGAAGTCGAGAAGACTCCTAACTCTCTAACAACTATTCACAGAGGATTGTAGTGCACACCACCGCCACTCGCAGTAACTGATCCTGCGTCCAGTTGGGCTTTCTTTTCCATTTTGGCGAGTTCATAATCCACCTTCATTCAACTAATAGCCTACTAGGGGTTTCACAACTACTGATTTTTGCTAGTCGACTAGTTTTGCATAACAGTCGACGACTAGTCGAGTAGTCGTTAAATGGTTTATTCTAGCGGTGTGCGACATCACGAATAGTAAATGTCTCCACGATCTGCTTTTGAAGAAATATGGTCGTAGTAGTATCGTGTTACAGTGCATTATATCAGTTCTGGCGCCTCTCAACTGTACAACGCGACGTAGCCTACACATCACACGTTAAGGAATAGGTACGGGACACTGCAATTCACAAAAGTTCATTGTTTGCATAAGCCTTGCCGGTTAAAGATTTAATTCACGCGCTGTTCTAACGTGCGCTTTCCTGAGCGCGCGGCATATCCCCGACGCTCATAGGCATTAGAAGCCTGTCAAACAGCGCCTAAATACTGGACTAAGTTATCTTTCAAGTCTTATTATGCTAATACTGTTAAATACACACAATATTTACATAAACAGAATTGGCTATGTCTAAAGTGCAGCCTCCCCATATAGAAAGTGAAAGCAAACATTTGAGAGAAAATCTGGTGTAGGCTAATATGCGTCTATATTAAACACGTCGCGTGCTGGTCTAAAAGCGAGAGTACTCGTATTTTCCGCACTATAAAGCGCACTTAAAAGCCTTTAATTTTCTCAATCCGGCCTTTTCTCAAGCTTTATAATCCGGAGCGCATTATATCAATTGCTCGCGCTCGTGTCCATCTTCTGCCCGCTTTGTCACACGGCCAGTTCAACCTCGTATAAAATATCTCCCGCTCACGAGCGCTCTCTCTAACACACACACGAACAGACACTGCTGTCAGCAGGCTGCGAATGTAAGTTACGTGCCCGCCCCAGCGCGCTCACGCTTACTAAATAAACTCCTCACCTCTGACGCCGCGCACTCGCTGCATTCCCTTTAGCACATCTAGTGGATGCATAATGCAAACCCAGTCAAACGTTTGAAAAATGTTCTAAAATAGGTCATTAAAGGTGCGCCTTATAGTGCTTATAGTATATAGTACTGCCGCTTGTATTTAAAGGGATAGTTAACAAAAAATATATCTATATATATGTCATCATTTTGTTTCCGACTAGTCGACTAAGGCCAACAGCGCCAACTAGTGGTTGTGACAGTCGACTAGTCGACTAGTTGATGAAACCCCTATAGCCTACATTAACTTACTTCAATAGGAGCAACATTTCCTTGCTTTAAATAGTCTATTTAGGCTAATAGGATGTCAATTAACCAAGCAAGTGTTAATGCAAGTGTCGTTTTTCATTAACTTTTAAGAAAAAACTCCTAGCTTAAATATTTTAGTGCGATTTATGAGTACTCCTCCTAAGCCCCTTTTCCACTAAAGCATTTTGTGTTTCGACAGCCAAAGAAACGGTTCACGGCCGGGAAAACTGGTTCCAAAGCGGCACCAACTCTTTAAAGCGTTCTTTTAGCACGTCATGTTTACGTCGGGGGCTGGAGCGGGTTTAGATGTGTTCTAAACATATTTTCTGACCATCGCAAAGCCAGAAACTGCAGAAACACGCAAGCGTTTTTAATATTTATTTATTTATTTTATTTTTTTATTTGAAACATAAGCAAAGAAGAAAACAGTCACGATATAGAACAAATAAATGGAAAGAAAAAAGACACAAGACAGGGGTAACTGTTACATAACTTATCAGAAAAGATAACATATCAAACGAAAAGATTAAAACACTTACATATTTCAATTGTTTTTAAAGTTTTCTTGGTAACGTTACACGAGTTAGAGATAATCCCAAAGCAATGTACTTGCAAGCGTTTCTAGCGACGTGCACAGTGACGTAACAACGTAGTTCCCTGGGCGCTCGTCAGTGGAAAAACAAACAGGTTAACCAACTCCGAACCAACTTTGAAGCAGCACCAGTTCCGAACCAGTTCTTTTTTCGGTGGAAAGGGGGTTCTAGTGGTACGATAAAATTCTTTGTGGATCGGCCCCTGTTCCATACACTTTTAAAATTAAAGGTTCCAAAAAGAACCTTTCAGCGAACAGTTCTAAAAGAACCATTTTTTACTAAGTGTGTAGAACATTTTTGCAATGGAAAGTTGCATAGATTCTTCATGGAACCATAGATGCTAATAAAGGATCTTTGTATAGGCAGCTGCCTTTAATGAGATGCGCTCTATTGATTTGGTCACCTAGCAACCACCCAACAATGATACGTTTTTCATGGTTCAAAAAATGCAAAAAATGTAATGAGCGATGCCCTGCTAGTTTGACCTTTTACTGGTTAAGTAGTCTAAATGACCCACTGTGGCTCTTTAAGTGCAGTTTCCCCACAGGTGATGCTCTGCTGCTTTTAGTGTCTCTGCAACCTCTTCCACATTAAACAATTAATGCAAAACAATCCATTAACATGAACTGATTTATGTAAGAACTCATTTGCTTTTTTCAAAGCTGGTGATAATTCGTTCTCAGGCATGCAGATGTGCAACAGCCCGCTTTAATAATCTAAAACAAAGTCATTATCCTTTCATCCTGTGATCTTGTGGAGGAGAAGGATATTTGAAAGGAGTTGTTTGACTTTGAAAGTGAAAAATATCTAACCAAGTAATGGAATAATTCAAATCAAAGTTTATTTAAAAAGCTCCTTGTGTACCAAGTACTCTACAACGGATTAGACGAAACAGAAATAACAGGAAAGAAATAATACAATATAAAAATAATAATAACACTATAGCCATGTTTCCATCGACACGTTTTTATACGAATTAAGTGATATCGAATGAAAAATGCCTAATGGAAACAGTAAAATTCGATGAAATTTCATGAAAATCGACTCAAATGAAATACGTTCAGTCTCATCGGATTTTATCTTGATCGATATATGGCTAATGCAATAAAAGCTGATGGAAACGTTATTTGCCGAATAAATAATGAATTGCGATTAAGTTTTAGGCCCTTTTATGGTTCAACACGCCAGAAGAGTTCATTTCCGGCCAGTCTTTTTGCGCACACATGGCGGATGTCAACAAAGACGTGTTTTTTTACCGAACTTCAGATAATTCGATTGACAAGTGGATAGTCTTTAAAAAGTATTAAATTGTCTTAAATTCAGATTGGATAGGTCTTAAATATGTTTGTCACGTCACCGCGAAGATGCAGGCAATCGTTCTGCCAGCCAGGTCGAATTTTTTTATCCCCTGACCAATCGGCTATCCTAACCTTAACCAATCGAGCTCCTTCGTGGGCATAGTCATAATTTCGCTGCAGGTAATATAGCAATGGTTGATAGCCACTTAGAAACATGGGGAAATGCAAGTTCAATTACAGACGCCTTGAAAAAATAAGTTTTCTTGGTTAAGGTCGGTGCCGGGAAATGTTTACGAAGCGAACTGCATTATGTGTCAGAAGAATTGCAAACTTGGGACATAACTTGACTTGGATCTCTCTCATGATTTCATGTTACCTCACTCATTCCTTAATTGAGGCATTAAGGCATCATGGTCTACATAAAGAATTGAATCTCTCTCTCTCTCTCTCTGTCCTTTAGTTTGGGAGCTCTGGTTGGTTTGTCTATTGCTGCTGTGGTGCTGCTAGCCTTCATCATCACTCTTTGTGTGCTTTGCTACCTGTTCATCGCCACGAAACCCAGAGGGTTGGACAACGGACTGCCTCTAAGAGCACCAGGTATGAATACATCTTCAACAATTTCTACTTATGAAAACCTCTTGGAAGGAAAGTGCTTGAGACTTCATATACTCGCTCTCTCTCAGCTGACTGCTATAAGGGAATCGAGCGCGGCAAAGCTGCCCGGCCCGCCTCAAACACCGCAAGCACACACAATCTAAAAACACGGGAGGCTGACCGGTTGACTGTTTGTTGACTTTAATTTGCGACAGTGCTGTGGCCTCTAGGGACGCTAGACGTGAAAGTTACAGGTTGAGCACCATCTAGTGGCCAAAAGTTCCACAGAGTGGCTTTAATGTTATATAGATTTAAGTTTATTCTGAAATAGGCCTGTAGGTGGCGCATTGCACTAGAGAAGCGGTTCCCAAACTTTTTCTCTTGCGCACCCCCTTCGATGTCCCAACCGGGTTGGCGTACCCCCAATCCCCACTTAAAAAAAAAAAAAACGCAAACAAAGCAAACAAAATTCTTTTTTTCAGAAATGTGGCATGTAAATTCGCAGTTGTGAGTTATAAAATCATAAATGCAACCATGCATCTGTGTTTACCTTGAAAGTCCGTCTTCGACAGTGGTATTCTATAAAAATGAAGACATCTAAAGGCACAAGAAGACAATTTCTCAACAATTTGTAATTCTTTTGCCACCATAGTGCAGTGAGGTAAATGTGATGTCTACTCCCAAATGGTTTATTGATTATAATCTTTATAGGCTCCTTCGCATCTGCTTTGATTGCATGATCTGAAGACACTCCCCCCACCCCTGGCTATTTCCACTTCACATTTTACTGAAGTACTGTACATTTGCGTCATCAATTTTAGTAACATCCTGAGTTCTAGCGGTAGCTAGGTAACAACTCAAGAGAAGTTGCCAAAGATGGAAAGTGAGGTCCTTTTCTTACTCTGGTTTGGTTGCACTTCCAAAATTAAAAAGCGCACTGAACTGCAGGTCTCAGAAACGCTGCGAAAGAAATCGAGTTAATCATTGAACACAGTTTCTATAGAGACAAGGAGTGATGATTATGTATCTGTCATCATCGATAGCGGTTCATTTATGCAAAATTAGGATTGATTGTTTTAAGTCTTTATTGCAAAGGCCACTTTGTCAAACGTTGTAGACTCAAATGTTCTTTTGTGGATCTTTTTTTTAATGTTTTTACAAGACTTGAGTAGCATAACTTATTGAAGCTTATCTGGTGACACTTTCCCCAATAACAGTTCAAAAACTTGTTTTGTGTGAGAAAAGCTTTTATAGATCCCACACTTGTCGGCTCAGGAAGGAAATTAATATGCTTTATCTAATCAATAAAATGGTGGCAAAAGATTACAAGCAATATTATTTATTAAATTAAACAAATTAGAATTGAGTAATAGTTAATCAAATTAAAATTCTAATTAATTATAATTTGTACAGTTTAATTAAAAATATTGCTTGTAATATGTTGCTACAGTTTTTTTGATTAGATAAAGCATATTATTTTTTTTCAGTGTAGGTATTCAACACTGTAAAAATGAATACGACTGAATCTGTTAAATCTAATCAATAAAATTGAGGCAACAGATTACAATCAATACTATTAATTAAATTTAACAAATTAGAATGGATTAGTAATTAATCAAACAAATTATTTAAAAGTTAACCATTTAAAATGAGTAAAATTTACACATTTTTCTAAGCAAAAACATCAGAATAACAGACTGATGTCAAAGATGAATTAAGAACTCTTTTTTTTTATTATTGCCATCATTGAAGACACCTGATGATAATAACAAGCAGAATCACTGAAGAAGAAAACTGTGATTTTTTTTTAAGTCACCATTATAGAGATCAGTATGTGTTTTAGGTGGGCTCTTGACCCTTATATTGTTAACTTTAGAGGTTGTTTGGCTGTTGTACATGAATTATAATAGCCAGATGAACAAATAGAAGAGGGGATCTGATGGTGTTGGTTGTGTTTTAACATAATCATTATTTCACAATCATTTGACCTGAATCGCTGAATTTGGCCATAGTTCACTGACAAGCTGAGCCATATCGCATTAATATCGAGAGTTAAAGTTAATGAGATAATTAAAGGGTTAGTTCACCCAAAAATTCGGTCAGTATTTACTTCCAAACCTCTATGTGTTTATTTGTTCTGTTATACACAAAGGAAGATATTTGGAAGAATGTTTTTAATCAAACAGATCTCATACCCCATTGACTACCATGTTTTTTTTTCCTACTATGGTAGTCAATGGGGAATGAGATCGGTTTGATTAAAACATTCTTCCAAATATCTTCCTTTGTGTTTAGCAGAACAAATAAACACAGAGGTTTGGAAGTAAATACTGACAGAATTTTCATTTTTAGGTGAACTAACCCTTTAAGTGAATAATTGAGTGGTGATTGAGCATCATCGAAGACACCCAAAGCAGAATCACTGAAGGAGAAAACCAGAATTTCAGGTCACCATTATGGAGATGAGTGTTTTCTTTAGTCGACATCGCGTGGAAAACCCTCTTATGGAATCTTAATTTTTAAGCCTTTTGTCATAATGTGTTCTTTAAAATTCAGTTTTCATGCCTTCTTTCATGCCTTCTTTATATAGTTGTATATGAGAGCGGTATGGTGGAATAAAAGGACTTTTCCCTTGTGCCAAATCACAAAGAGATCAATGCATTCGACAGCTAGAGTGTTTGCATTGATTGATAAGGCAAGTTAATATAAAACTGCATGCTGTGCAACCCATCTTTCATCGTTTGTGCTAAATGCATGATACCTCAAATTGTACAGGTGGACAATTAAAAAGCCCCATAGATTTGCATTGAAGGAGGGACTGAGCCACAGGTGTGAACTGTTGACTTGGACAAATACACATTGAACATTAGAAATCCTAAACCTGCAAAAACCACTCCAGAACAATCCCTCGTTCAGGTGAAAGAAGAGGACAGGTTGACCACCTCCCCCATTTATTCTCGTGTTCTGTCTGTGACACAAACTAATAACTGCAGTGTCACATCTTCCCGTGGCCTTTAATGTCTCATATTTTCTTTGTGGTTTTGCTCAAATTCTGCAAGAAGACCCAAAACATCAATTTATATTATTTTACTGAGACCCCATCAATGACTTTTGTTATTTTCAGCATGAAACGGGATTTCATAAATCTAAAAATCAATGTGTAAAGATTGTTCTTCTTTTCCTCTTATCTTTTTAAAACTTCATCTCTCTTCGTTCTATCCTTTGACTTTTCTTTGTCTGCCACACAAACTTGAGTTTCGGATGTTAAGGGGATACTTCAGGATTTAGCATTAAGCTTTGCATTAGTATGAAACCTTTGATTTTTTCAAATTACCATGATTTCCACCCTCATATCCCTGAGACGAGAGATATGTATTTTTTGAGGCTAAAGACTACAGTCAGTATTCGGGTCTGTCCCGCATGTCCTCAACCCGCCCATAGAGGGCGATCTCACTCACAGAATGAACACATAGTGTCGGCCATCTTTGTTTGGAAGCTAAGCTAGCAGGCTCTTGTTCTGTGGAGAAAGCTGAGTAGTAACTTTAGGGGTTATCATCCTCTTTTTCCCGGAGGATGTCCGGGATTCAGCTTTTGCTTTCTGCAGTCGCCATTCATTGTTTACATGCACAGCTTTTGTTTCAATCGAACTGAATTCATTCCATTGGTGAATCTGAATGTAGTGTTTACATGAACGCTAAACAAGTGATCGGCTGATGTGCGTTTAACATTGCTAAGAAAATTCCCGCTCCTCCGTGAGAGATACGAGACCGGTGCGTCTCACAGGTGTCGCTCCGGTAATCACGCCATCGGCCTCGCGCCGTTCTCCCGCGGCCCTCACTCGTCCCGCTCGCCACAGTAAACATGATGAACGGCGACTGTAGAACGCAAAAGCCGAATCCCGGACATTTTGGGCGATCTCGAAACACATTTTCGGGCAGACTCATCACGGAGACTCACTAGTAGCCTAGACTTGTTGTTTAACGACTGCGCTCTGTTACCGGTAGGCGTGGCCTCATAGGGCAGTGAAGCAAGTGCATTCTGGGAGTTGTTGTCTTTCATCCACAAGAGCCAAAAATACATTTTCTGGCTTTTTCAGGCTAGAAAGCTCCAAATTCAAAAATTATTTTACATTTCTTCAGCTCTGTAGTTTTTTATTGTAGGGCAAAACATAAACCAACGACTGATATAATGCAGTCTCTTATACTGTTATAAATTGCATATTTTTGCTCAGTTTGATCCTCTGAATAAAACTGTTTTTTCCATTGCCATAAAAGCTTTGATATATCAAATATGATACTCAAAAAAAGGAAATGGACATTTGAAAAAAAAAAAAAATATATATAAACTCTAATTTTCTTTTTCTGACTTATTTCCTACATGGTTAACCTGACTGCAAAAACAGTACAACATTTACCTTTCTTCCGTTTAGCAGGTGCTTTTATGCAAAGAGTCATACAAATGAGAACAATACGAGCGGAAGGGATTCATACAAAGAAGAAAACAATACAAGAGAAACTGTTTTGTGAAACAGCATGGTGTTGTCACATACCGGCAATCATTGTTTTGTCCTGCCAGTCAGATTAAATAATATTATATTTATAGTTTTAAAATAGCAGATCTTGTCAGTCAGAAAGCTCTCTGTGAAGAAAATCTCTCTCAAAGTCAAATCGGTAATAGCTCCTGTTGACAATTGAGTCAAACAATTGATTCTGTTTTCCTGCCTGTCTCTAGTGGCTAGTCATTGAATTGCAGTTTAAGTCACTTCTGTGTTGACTGGAAGGTTGCCGCTATCAAAAGGGGCTACTCTGAGCTGAAGCCCTAGCGAGGAGGGGGTGACCTCTTGACCTCTTTGACCTCATATCTGGTAATGTGTTGGTGCCTGGAATATTTAGTATATATTTAGAAATCATTGTTTCCCTCTGTGTTCAAGATTTGATTTATTTACTATGAACAGGGCCTTTGGGTTTGCTATAGCCACAAGTATGTAATAACATGAACAACTAGTTTTATTTATGCATGTTCTCGTATGGAGGCATTATGGTCAATGCAATCAGGGTATCGCATTGGATATTCGAGCAATGAGGTCCTGCTACTATGCATGACACTATTTCAGCGTATGAATATTGAAAGGCAATTCCACCCTGTAAGTGCCCCCTGAGAGCTGTGCGAAAACATCCTCAAAGCTCTTGCAAATGCATCATAATGCTCTGATAAATATTTATATATTTAAACAAATAGTCACCCAAGGCACTCAAACCGGGGAACTAGCACATAGAAATCTACTACAGATGACAGTGTTTATACATTACGAAAACTTAAATTTAGAATAAAAACTGAACATCTGAAAATATAAACATGTAAAGTATTAATACATTCTATAATATAAATAATACTAAATATCCCCGTAAACCCCAAGTGGAACTCTTCTGTACAGTGCGTGTATATATATATATGTACAATCAACTTGTATGTTTAAGTCATTTTAACTTAATTTACATTAAACTAACCTGAACTGACTAAAAATGAGTTGAATCTTATAGAACTTTTTTTTTAAAGTTGAAAATTGCGGCAAGTCGGCATGAAATCAAATTTGACAAATCTTCTTTTTATATGTAATATTGTAGTGTTTACTGTTTATTATAAATGATTTATCTGTGCACTTCATTATTTTTTCTAAATTCATGTACCCTTATAATCTTTAATCAAATACATTACCCTTCTCTCCCCCATCGAAACGACCTTTCTTCTATTTCGGTCACGTGGAATGGCGAAAGGGTGTGGCCAGATCCAATGAGGGTGCACCGCCTCTCAGACAATCGCATTCAAATCTGCCTCCATTTTGTTTGCAACAAATTCAATTCCCGAAGGACGAAATCAAGCCCTGCCCTACATTTTTTTCTAATTTCAGAAGCCGTTTCACTCGGATATACGTCACGACAAGGAAAAAAATTACAATCTCAACTTCCGTTTCATGCCGACTTTAACTTAAATTCAATTTAAATCCATGTAAACACATGTTGTCATAACTTATTGATCATGCAATTTTGTTTACAGTGTATTTTGAATGTGTTCTTGTAGACGAGCGTCACTGTTGATTTTGCTTGAAGGTTTTGCTCAGTTAAAGGACAACTCCGGCGCAAAATGAACCTTTGGTCTAATAACACATTGGTACCTAGTCGACCGTTGTCTGAGATTTGTTTTCATGATAATCGAATGTAAAGAGTTTTATCTCTAAAAACTGTTATAACTGTTAGAACGAGAGTTATGACAAATAAAAATCGCGAGTTTATACCACTAACAAGGCTCAAAATAGCCCCACACTTACACAGTAACATAATGAGGGTCCCTACATGCAAAACGAAGCATTAAGAGTACAGACAGTTTAACAAGAAGATATTTTATAAAGACAGTCCACTTTGTGTAAACAGACAGGAGCCATCTTTGGAAAACAGTCTCGACCAGTTAAACCAAGTGAGCTGAACTGTATGAACGGCGTTCGTGGTTCGACTGGTCGAGACTGTTTTCCAAGATGCCCTATATATTAGCTTTATATGCTAAACAGTTTTTAGAGATGAAACTCTTTACATTCGATTATCATGAAAACAAATCTCAGAGAACGGTCGACTAGGTACCGATCTGTTATTAGACCAAAGGTTCATTTTTGTCCTTTAAGCACGACTTCTCCAGAAAAATGTTTAATGTGGTCGGCGTTGTGTTTCTCAGGATCTGGGGCCAGTCCTCAGGAGGGTCCGAGCCAAGTCAGCGTGCCGTCGGGACCGCAAGGTTTCCGCAAGCATTTCCTAAGAGGCAAACTAGACTGTGACAACCAGCCGCCGGATCCGGACCGGCTTTTCCAGCGCTGCTTCATGGCTACGGTCACCACCATCAATGTAGAGGGACCGTCATAAAGCCCTGGAGCTGAACAACATCCCCCAGGAGTCCTTTCAGCCAATCATCATGCGACTGATGGAACATTTTCAACCATTCTGCTTTGAGGTTTTGGATGCTGTATCACAAACTGAATCAAATTATTGATCTAAATCATCATTTTAATTCAACCTCAAACCGTATGCTTCTCGTATACTCATTAGAGCTGCACACAGGCTCTTTGGATTTGTTTTTGAGGCAAGAAACTAATTAAACCATTAACATTCATCAAGACTTCAGTGTCAGTATTCAGAACGGTAATTGCTGCTTTAAAGAAATAATTATGCTTTTTTAGTGTCCGCAGCTGAACCAAAGACACAATTGAACTCAAAGAGTTTGTTGTTCCCGAATACTGAGAATTACTGTCTCTCAAACTGAGCGTTTACACCAGCACGTTCCTCCTTGGCCTCCGTACTAATGGTGTCTTTATAACATCTTTGAGTGCCGTTTGAACAATCTAGGGTTCATCTCCTTCAGGAGTCGGTCATTCGCCTGTTTGAGACGCGCTATGTGCCTTCAAAGGCACTTTTCAGAAAGTTGAAGCTTTCAAAACCAACAAATTAGTGCTGTCAAATCAACTACCGGCAATCACGAGTGATCATATACTAAACTCACACATATATTATTTTAATCCATTTGATATTTGACTATACTACAGCAAGTACAATTCTCATTTAATCTCATTAAATATCAAATGCAATGTTATCTAACATAACAGGGGCTGAAAGTAGCTAGTATTAAACACAAACACTCCCTAAAATGATGAATTTGGCCAGTCCCACATGCTTTGCCTTGAAACCAATTAGGATTATGCAAAAGGGACGACATTTTTATACACAGCTAATCTGTTGAATTAATATTGAAATTAACTGTAAAGATGACCGGTAGCCGTGCATTTAACAGTGTCTGTAATGCACATCCCTGTTGCTGCTGATTTTGCTGAAGATTCCTTAAAATTATGGCACCCAGGAAGTGACATCATATGGCGCGACTAAACTTTTTAAGATTTGTAAATAATTTAATTCCGAAGTTCCGAAGAATTACCAAAGTTATAAAAAGAAAACAATCAAACAACAACTTACGTTTACGTTTTTATTTTTAAATCTTTTGTTTATCAACTTAAAACAGAATTAGGTGGTCCATCCGTGTCAAGTAATGTTTACATTTTTAATTTTATACATTTTATACTGCTTTTTTTTTTTTTATTATTATATACTGTATTTGATTATATAATTTTTTTTTTTACTTTGCAACTATTTCATTATTGATTTATTCTATTTAATTTGACTGTTTACTCTCTGATATAAATCATTATAAATTGTCACATCGGGGTTTTATACGGAGGCGTATTGCATTCACTTGAAGAAAAAAAAATCTACTCTGTTTTTCTGAATTAACGAGTTAATTTTTCATGAGAAAAAAAATTTGCTCTGTTTTTCTGAATTAATGAGTTAATTTTTCATGAGAAATTTTTTTTGCTGTTTTTCTGAATTAATGAGTTAATTTTTCATGAGAAAAAAAGTTTTTCTCTGTTTTTCTGAATTAATGAGTTAATTTTTCATGGAATTTTTTTTTTTTTTTGCTCTGTTTTTCTGAATTAACGAGTTAATTCAGAAAAACAGAGCAAAAACTTTTTTTTCTCACGAAAAATTAACTCATTAATTCAGAAAAACAGAGAAAAAAATATTTTCTCATGAAAAATTAACTCATTAATTCAGAAAAACAGAGAAAAAATTTTTTTTCTCATGAAAATTAACTCATTAATTCAGAAAAACAGAGCAATTTTTTCCTCATGAAATATTAACTCATTAATTTAGAAAAACAGAGTAGATTTTTTTTCTTCAAGTGAATGCAATACGCCTCCGTAGTTTTAAACTATTTTCATAACTGCAAAAAACAAACAAACGGTTAAGCCTTGCTTTTGACCCTAGTGCAAAGTTTTGTACTTTTAAGATGTCTACAAAAAAAAAAAAAACATTGTTCATATTTATATTTTATGGCCAGGAAAAAAGAGTTTCTTTTCCGTTTGTATTCACGGGTGAATGTGTTGTACATTGTGTTAAGCTGAAGGCCAAAGCTGCACTGAATTGTTCTTTGTGAGCCAGTTATTATTTATCTTTACACTTCATGCTACCTTGACCCTTTATTGATTTGATTTCAAGAAAATTGCCTGTTGATGTAGAGTTAAAGATTGTTGCGTTTCCAAAGTGCTGCGTGATTCGTCAGTGAAGTTTGTCCTCAAGTGGCTTTATCTTTGTTTTGAGCTGCTCTCTGTAAGGTTTCTTTGAGCAGTTTGTGTTTTTGCTGTACTGTTCCTGCCTCATCAGCTTCAACATTAAAAATCATTTGCCAGTCAGCACGGCTAATGAAGAAATGTGTCGTACAAAATACTGCATCAGTGACTCTACTTTTATGGTAGGACTTTCATCAGGATGCCGTACAAATCTCTAAACTAACTGTACCTTTGGAAAAATCACACCATTTCTGCTGTAATTTAGTTGATCAAAGACTGATCAGCGTCTGAGTTTAACACCAGGAAATGCATTCTGAAAAATCATTGCAAAAACCATTAAAGGTTTTTTTGTCCCCATCTAGTTCGGATTTCATTGTAATAGTGTATCACGCTCGAGTTCGCATATCAAAAAGCGCACTCAAAAGACTCGTATCGCACTCTTGGAGCATGTTAAATAATTCCCCTGAAGTCCAATTACAGTAGTGAAGGTTTCTTGCCCCAGATACAGAGATAATTTAGTTTCACACTGCGGTTTTACACCTCTTTCTGATCTTTACAGCTAATCAGGCTGTTTTTTTTAGTGTGTGCCTTTAAGACTTCATGCAAATGACCTCTGCTTTGATTGGCTAACCTTTTCATGTGAAACAAACAGCATGTTGCACATAAATGCATTGTAAAAAGTGACTTTTAGTAAAAAAAAAAATACTATTTCTGTTACTTTTACTACTAAATTTCACTTTTAAAGGAGTAGTTCGCTTTTAAAAAAACTTTTGCTGATCATTTACTCACCCCCATGTCATCCAAGATGTCCATGTCTACAAAGAAATGGACGTTTTCAGTGTTTGAGAGGAGGTCTGATGGCAGAAAGGATATTTTTATATCCAAACAGACCAGCCGTGATCAGCTGGATTTATTCTCTCAGGGTTCGGTCAATTCTGAGCGGCTCTGAAAAGGTGTGCTGAAAGGTTTTGGGGATTAGAAAGACTTTGGCTTGGCTTTTCTCTTATATGTTTGTGCTATAACTTGTCTGAAATATTTGCTACTTGCGTTTCTTGTTTTTAATGCCTCTTTATTGGATCAATCGCTTGTATTTCTCATTAGTAAATCGCCTTGCATAAATAAATAAATGAAAAAGTAAAATGGTCTGGATGGTATAGTTTAGTTTGTCAGCCTAATAGTTATTGTTTTGGTGCAGAAAATAATTCTGCAGAGAAACCAAACATAGCTTTTGGTTAAAAAAAAAATTAAAAATAATAATCCAAACTCAATGTTTAAATTTTATTTGCTTTGGTTTATTTAATTTGTAACTTTTTTATTATTTTTATATATTTTTAATTGATTTAACATTATTTTTAGTCATTTCAAACTGATGAAAGGAAGTGGATAAATGCATTTTCCAAGGACAACCACTTCTTTTGTCAAAAAGAGCAGCAATTTGAAGTGCCAGAACCGAATTTAGCACCAATTAAGATTAAAATACAATCTTTTATTGAAATTGAAAGAGCACCGTTATTTAAAGGAATGATTCAGATGAAAAGTAAAATCATTTTACTTTCAATCATTAATGCTCATTTGAAAACAATTTGATTTTCTTTCTTCGACAGAAGACAAAAGGAAAAACGGCAAAAAAGTCGACAGTGTTGCCATGCTCCAGCTAGAGAAGAGTATTCTCCATATGACTAGTCCATTTCAAGTCTTGTGAGAAACTAAGAAGCTTAAAAGAGACTCAATCCTCACGGCATTCATTAAAAAAACAATACGTTTTTTGTCAAAGATGTCAAACTTGCTGCTCATCCAGGTCTGAATTGGGTGATTTATTTAAATTCTGCATGACTGAATTTTTCATTTTTTGGATAAAAGAGTGCTTGTACCTTTTGACAAATTTCAAGAAATGCATCTGTAAATCCTTTGTGGTGAGAAAAAGATTTTAAGCTCTGTGTATTTTCAGGAGTCCACGCTAAAAGGCTATTTAGTGCACACTAGGGACAGTGGAAACTGTGATAGGACTGAGATACGGTAGATTTGGATGCTTTGTCCCAGGAGAAATTAATTATGGGAATGAAATGCAGGAGAAGAGCCTCTGAACACGCTCTCACTCAGAATATTTGTATAACTCCTGCAGCAGATGTAAATCTTATACCAAAATATTGAGCTTTCTTAAGTCTTGCGTTTGAATGGACAAATTCACACAAAAATTGTCAACATGCCTGTCTTGGTGAGTATCCTAGCAAGTCGGTTATGGAAACAGTCGAGAAAGAAAATGCATGCGTAATTGGATCAGGGTGTTATGTCTTAAAGTGACATCAGCCTAATTTTCCTTCCGTCAAAAGCACTGCTCTTGACTGAATTGCCTTTGTAACTTCAATAATGAGTTTTAGGTTTGTTTTTAGTTCAGTACATTTGCTTAACGGTAAACTTAAACTTCTTTAAAGGGATACTTCAGGATTTAGCATTAAGCTTTGCATTAGTAGAAAACCTGTAGTGTTTTCGAATTACCATGCTTTCCACCCTCATATCCCCCTCAGACGAGAGATTTATGTATTTTTTGTCTGGAAAAAATCCTCCGATGACGTAAAAATCATCATTAGCTATTCATCATCGGAGTATTTTTTGTCCATAGGCAAAAGACTACAGTCAGTATTTGGGTCTGTCCCGCATGTCCTCAACCCGCCCATAGAGGGCGATCTCACTCACAGAATGAACACATAGTGTCGGCCATCTTTGTTTGTAAGCTAAGCTAGCAGGCTCTTGTTCTGTGGAGAAAGCTGAGTAGTAACTTTAGGGGTTATCATCCTCTTTTTACCGGACATGTCCGGCTGTCGATGTTCAGCTTTTGCTTTCTGCAGTCGCCATTCATTGTTTACATGCACAGCTTTTGTTTCAATCGAACTGAATTCGTTCCGATTGGTGAATCTGAATGTAGTGTTTACATGAGCGCTAAACAAGTGATCGATTGCTGTGCGTTTAACATTGCTAAGAAAATTCCCGCTCCTCCGTGAGAGATACGAGACCGGTGCGTCTCACAGGTGTCGCTCATCGTTAATCACGCCACCCTCACTCGTCCCGCTCGCCAAAGTAAACATGATGAACGGCGACTGTAGAACGCAAAAGCCCAATCCCGGACATTTTGGACGATCTCGAAACACATTTTCGGGCAGACTCATCACGGAGACTCACTAGTAGCCTAGACTTGTTGTTTAACAACTGCGCTCTGTTACTGGTAGGCGTGGCCTCCTAGGGCAGTGAAGCAAGTGCATTCTGGGAGTTGTTGTCTTTCATCCACATAAGCCAAAAATACATTTTCTGGCTTTTCTCAGTCTAGAAAACTCCAAATTCAAAAATAATTTCACATTTCTTCTACATAAATGACCCATTTTAAATACACACCCATCTTTCCAGAGGTGAAGTATCCCTTTTTTTCACTTTTTTTTGCTTTTAATCTATGATCAGATGCGAAACCTGAAGTCACTGATGGATGGCAATTCAGTACTGCTGAAAATGTGAATAGACGTTGTACTTTTTAATGAATCATTCATAGAAGACGCTGTTTAGAGGTGTTTGATCTGTTTGGCAGGTGCTTTTGAAGGTTTTTGAAATGGAAGTGTTTTCACAATCCTCTGACAGTCATAATTTGGCTACGGGATGTGGATTGTGGAGTCGGACTGTTTGCTGTGATATGACAGAAAACCTATCAAACCTTCCTCAGCCGCTGCGAGACCCGCACTGACATCACAACACAACCAACAAAAATGGTTCTTTACACGTATCAAGTTATAAAGAGACCCTTTAAATGCTGAAATGGAAAAGTCAGATAAAGTGAAGTAGGCCTAATATTGGATCTAAACAGTACCAAATTAAGTTTTTTTCGGCTTGTAACTATAGCAGATCTCTTTTTTATAAGGAGAACCATGCTTTGAAAGTGCTATGGATAATAAGTAAAAGATGGTGGTGGGTTATGACACTTTATGACATATCATGTGCTGGCTATGAAACTGGACTAGACTTTTTTTTGCAATTTTATTCCGAAAATGTTTTATTCCGTTATTCACGGCACAATACAATACGTCATTTTAGTAGGGCTGTGCAAAAATTAATTGCGATTAATCGCATCCAAAATAAAAGTCTGTGTTTACATAATATATTTGTGTGTGCTGTATATA